TGGCCAGAGGCGGGCAGAGGTTTTATCTTCTATAAAAAATGGGAATAAATTTACTGACTTGTTGGGTTATTTTGAAGATAAAATGAGTCAACATATAGGGATTGTGTCCTACAGTGGCTGGCGCTTAGTGAATGCTGAGTGAATGTTAGGTGGTGGTGGTTAGCTGCTAGTAGAAGGCTGAGGAGGAAGGTGGGGAGTGACCTCTGTCTGCTTACAAGGGCACTGGTCCAGATTTTCTCCATCTCTGAAGGTCCAGTTTGGTTTCAGATTAAATTGTCCTTTCTCAGAGGAATACTCCTGCCCACAGGATTTGAGTGCCCTGCTTCTTCCACCCTTCTTTTTCACAGCACCCTTGTCTTCACCATCAGAGCACCTCCCATGATTTGTTACTACATGTTATTTGGGCTCACTCCTTTAGGGGCTTGTCCCCTTCTAAGCTGGTGGTTTCCCACTTGTGCGATGTGGCCAAGGGGCTAAGAAGTTGGGCTAAGGAGTCGGACGAACTAGGGTTCTAGTCTTGGCTAGCCACCTCCTGACTGTGTGATGGAGGGGAAGTTACCTACCTTCTCTGAGCCTCAACTTCTTCACCTCTCCAATGGTGAGAATAATGCCCAGCGGCAAGCCTTGGTATAAAGATGAAATCTAACAGCTTATAACTACTTAACACGTTTCCTGGAACTTAGCATCTTCCAATAAAGGTGACTGTCATCATCATTATTCCTAATGAGACAGCCATCCACTTGTCATGGCGGCATTGGTGATAATTGCATCGGAATTTCCCTGCCCACTCCTGCAGTAGCGTAGCATCTCTTATTAACTGGGATCACAGAGAGTAAATGTTAATTAATGATTTGGTTGAACTCTAAGGAATAGTTCAGGGTCTCAGATTGCTTATCTTTGGAGAAAGAAGCTGGCGGGTGTGTGCGAGCATGCGATTTTTGAACACCATCCATGCGGTGGTTAGTCGGTACACAGACAAGGGATGGTTGTTTCCATTTGGAGGGCCTGTGCAGGTAGGGTGGGGTGGTGCATGGGGAGTAGAGTGGCCAGCACCCAGAGGCCCAGGTCTCTGTTTTCAGCGGGTGTAAGGAGTTAAAGGACCATGGCAAAGGTTGGGGGAGCTTAGAGGGGAAGAAGGAATTTCCCAGACGGAGAACCTTGCGGTCCTATGCAAGATCAAGTCCTACATAATGTGGGCTTTTGTTATCAACACAACAAATCAGAATTCTGGTTCAGTTTGAGCTGCTCCTGAGAAGAAGAGGAAAGAGGGTCGGAAAACCTACGCAGGGATGAAAAGGAGATTAGGTACCAGGAGACAGTGGATTCAAAGTCTAATGGGATATGTGGGACCCAGCTTTCCTCTGAGCAACTGCTGGGCATTTTGGTCTTTCAGAAAAAGCAATTGTTTTTCTGGACCTGAAAAAAAGCTTTCTTTTCCCCAGTGTTTAAACTGGAAGAAGTTAGGTATATAAAAGCACTTTTGTCAACAGAAGTTTCATACATATCAGAGCAATCCCACTCATCTCCCTGTGGTGCTTTGCGATGTACAAGACACTTTACTTTCCCCATATCTGTTTCCTTGCAGTTCCTCCAAGAATCTTGCAGGTAGCTATTATTATTATTTCTATTTTAGAGATGGGGTCACTGAGGCCCAGAGAGGCTGGGCAACTTGCCCACGGTCTATGTGGATAGAAAGTGGCAGGGCCAACAGTTTTCCCCACACACCAGGCTGTTAGGGGTGATCCTGTTCCTACTTTTAGTACTGTCTCTCATCAGTATTGGGTGAACTTAAGTGGAAACGGTTGTCAAACCACCCAGTGGCTTTGTGGATGGGACTAGAGGTGGGAACTGTGGCTTTTCTGTCCCCCATAAAGCCACTTGTGACTCTGTGACTCAATATTTCAGTAACTAGAAGGGAAGAAAAGCAAGCTCTCCTCCTAGCGTGGCCCCAAATAGCTAGGTAGATATTGCACCCTTGCTGACCCCCCAGGCTTCTTGAGCAGCCCTGCTCTGCAGAGCCATCCCCCATACTTGGAAGGACTTATCCAAGTAGGTGGACTCTCTCTTCTTCCCAAGGAGGAGTTGATTATCCTAAAGAGATCCTATTCTGTAGTGGGGAAACTTTCTGTCTTTAGATGCCACCATGGTTTGTGTTCGCAGGAGGATGTGCAAGATTAAGTGACCTTTACTATGGAATGCAAAACTACTCATTTGTATATTCTCCACAACCACCCTGTAAGATAGGTGCTGTTATTTCCGCCTTGCTGGATGAGTCATCTGAGGCCCAAAGAGGTTTAGTAACTTGCTCAAGAACACATGATAAAGGCTTAGCAAGAGATTTAAACCAGATGGTCTTGCTCCATAGCCTGTGTTCTTAAATGCTGTACTAAGCTCATTTTGATGAGTGAGTGCCATCCATCTACTACCCATCCACTCTTGAACTCACCTCTCTACCTACCCTTTTACTCATCACCCATCCATCCAATCATCTGCCCATTTATCCATCTTTCCATTCACCCACCCATCCCACTGTCCTCCTATCTGTTCATCCATCCATCCATCCATCCATCCATCTACCCACCTACCCATCTCACTATCCACCCAGCTGTTGATCTATCTATCAACCATCCATTTTTTCCTCCTTCTTTCTTTCCTTCTTTTTTTCCTTCCTTCCTTCCATCCATCCATCCCACTATCCACCCATATGTTTATTCATTCACTCAACCATCCATTTTTCCATTCATTCATCCAGCCAGCCACCCACCCACCTATCCATTGTGTTGGCTGTTTGTCTAACATGGTTTTCTAGAGCATCATCTTGGGGAAGAAGTTTCTCCATCCTGGGAGGCAAGCATGTGCTTTCTGAAGCTGGAGACTTCCATGCCAACACAGATCCCTTAGCTCCCAAGAAATATCTGGGGGCTTGCTCTTGACACCCTAGGTTGATGTTCTTGGGAATGCTGCTGTTTCAGGGAGTGCCAGGTTGCTTGTTCACTTTCCTCCCTCTGTAAACCTGTGAAGGGTTTCCCCATGCAAAGTTCTCCAAATCCGCAAAGCCACAGGCTCTTGCAGAAATGCTCTTGACTTTCTGAAGCATTGTCACAAAAGAATACTCAACTAGCCTCTTTCCTTGATTAAATGGTTGGAAGCTGGATTAGTTGGCATGGTTTTACTTTTTAAAAAAACTGTTGTAGAATTTGTGTGTTACATCTAAAAATTATGTAATAAATCTAAAACAGATGTTCACAGAGCATTTTATAAGGAGAGAAATTTTAATAGAAACGGGCCAATTTGATTTGAGATAAATCAATTAAGGAAACAATTTTAATTGGCTGTGAAGAAGCAGTATTATGAAGAGGCAGTATGGCCTAGCTATTTACATATCTATTAAGTGCAAAGCAATGAAAGTTTTGTTTAATTAGTTTGCATAGCCTCTGTTTTGCATAAAACATTGGGGGACAAGCTTACTTTTCAATTTTTTTTACATTATATTGTGGAAAATTTTAAACAGATAAGAATTCAGACATGTAAACATAACAGTGATGTAATGAACCCCTATGTACCCATTACCCATCTTTAACAATTATCAGCTGTAACTGTATCCCCTTTCCCCTATTGTATTGGTTTTCTTTTCATGAGTTTTGATGGCATATTCCTCACTTATTACTGAATTTTATTGGGTCAAAATTTCATTCTAGAAAAGTGTATTATGTTGACATTGAAATATAATAAACTTTTGAATAGAATTGCTTACTTTTTCATTGAAATTTAGCTTTTTTGGTAGAGCATTGGGAATTTTCTGTCATTTGTTCTAATTAAAAAAAATTTGAATCTAGAGCAAAGTTGGAAGAATAATAAAGGAACCCTCACATACCCCTCACCTTGGTAGACCAGTGGTTAGTATCAGGACTGGCATTTTCCTAAGTGTGTTTTTCCATGAGATTCCTTGAAGACAGGGGAGATTTCCTTACTGTAAAGGTACGTAGACAGTAGCACACGGCTCTAGAACCAGAGAGACACGGGTTCCGGTCTCAGCTCCACCACCGCCTAGCCCTACATTGTAGGCAAGTTGCTTCGTACTCAATCCGTTCGTCTACCAATGGGAGTAATGATGGTGTACACCCCGTGGGGCTATGCAAGCACATAACAGGCCATCAACAAGTGTGACCTATCACCTTGCCGTGCGGTTGTGCTCCCCGCATGGCGGCTGGGGGAGCTGAATAGAAGGAAATCGGGCTTTGTTGATTCAAGTCATTTTGGTCAATATGGAAGATTTTTGTAGTTGAGAGAATCGCTGGGCCTCGTGATTAAGAAAATAAATCCAGATGAGAGGGTTCAAATCCTAGCTCTGCCCTTCCCACCTTGGAACTTGGTTGAGTGACTTAATCTCTCTGAGTCCTTGTTTCCTCACTGTAAACTGGGGGTGGAGAGAATACCTACCACACTGGGATGTGGGCAGGAGAAAATGAGATGGGCGCATCCTTGCCCGACATTTAGTATTGTGTCTGCTTCATCCATGCCCGGTGAATGTTAGTAATCATTAGTATTATTGTAAGGGCACATTAGCATTGTGCCCGCCATAAAATACCCCGTAAATGTCACTTATTATTATAAGTGAGGGTGAAAAAGCCACACCAAATTGGTCTTTAAAAGTCTGGTTCCACTTTGCTGCAATGAAAAGAATAAAGATCTTTCCTGAAAGCTTGCAATGTGATTTCCAGTAGGAGTAAGTCTGGGATGGACAGACGGATGCCAACAGCAGGGCATGGCATCACTCAGTCATCGTGGGAAATGACCGTGTGCCTTAGGTTCCATTCAGTGATGTCCTAAAATAAACCAGCCTTCTTGATGGTTCCTGGAAGTGTCAGCTTCCTGCATTGATCAGCTCGCCCCATGGCCAGGGCGGGCACCTCCTCCCTGAGGGCTTGTGCTGTCCTTGTTGCCTGTGACTGATCTTTTCCTCTCTCTCTCTCTTTTCTGACTCTCATCTTGTATCCCAGGTTGAAAGGATTGTAGACAAGAGGAAGAACAAGAAAGGGAAATGGGAGTATCTTATCCGGTGGAAAGGCTATGGGAGCACCGAGGACACGTGGGAGCCCGAGCACCACCTGCTGCACTGTGAGGAGTTTATCGACGAATTCAACGGGCTGCACTTGTCCAAGGAGAAGAGGATCAAGTCAGGGAAGCAGGCCAGTGCCTCCAAGCTCCTGCGGGACAGCCGAGGCCCATCCGTTGAGAAACTCCCCCACAGACCTTCTGAATCTGGAAAGAGCAAAGGGACTTCCCATAAACGGAAGCGAATCAACCCTTCCCTGTCCAAGCCGAAGAAAGGGTACCCAGCCAAGCCCCCTGCGGGAGGGGACAGGGCCACCAAGACGGTGTCTTACAGGACTACCCCCAGTGGTTTGCAAATAATGCCCCTGAAAAAGGCTCAGAATGGGCTAGAAAATGGGGACGCCGGTTCTGAGAAGGACGAGAGGCACTTCGGAAACGGGTCCCACCAGCCCGGCTTGGATTTGAATGATGTCGGAGAGCAAGACCTGGGCGAGTGCGATGTTAGCCACACGGCGCTGGCGGAGAACGGGCTCGGTATGTGGCTTGTCTTCCCCTTGCGTTTGGCCCTGGCCACGTGGATTAGGGCTTTGTGTGCAGCCTAGGGAGCTGCATCTGACCCCCAGCCAGGCAGGAATTCTCCCTTGTCTCTCTCCACCAGGGCCGAGTAGACTTGGTCATATGCCCACACTGGTTGCAGACACCTCTGCGTGTGGGGAGGCCAAGCCCCTGGTGCTCCAGCCAGGGCCTGTAATGGGTTGAAAACCCCTGACTGCACTTCAGGACACCCAAGACCATGGGAACTAGTCTAGAGCCCCTGCTCTGAGGGCAACTCCAAGTCCCCATCCATCAGGACCCCGAGACTCATGTCCCCAGAGGGCCTGTGCCTTTCTGGGGCAGCATGCACCTCACAGAGCCTTGCTTGCCATCTCATTGTGCTCCCAGCAGTGTAGCTCGGAGAGGGCATCTGGGCTGGAGTCTGTTCCTCCTTCCCAGACCCAGTTTGGATGTGGAGTTCTCCAAACCTGTCTGTAAGCCTGAGCCTCTTGCCCTTCATCTGTTGCTAACATGCATGATCTGGCCCCATTTCTGTGTCGGGTCCTAAATGCCACCTGACCCCATCTTAGGCTGTTCTTTGATTTGCCTCTTCTTACTCTACCCTGGAAGCCACACAGCAGTGATTATGGAATTCCTTCCTCTTCCCAAGTCCCCACAGGCAAAATTAAGGAAAGAGGAGGCAATGACCCAGGTAATTCAAGCTCCCAAACCTGACATTTCCTCCATAGTCCAGTTGCTTCTTGCCTGAGTCCTTAGTGGCTCAAATCATCCAGGTTAGCCATCCTTGCCGGTTACACGCATGCCCTCATTTCTCGCATACCTGTGTGTCTACATGGTGGCGTTTCCTCTTTCGCTGCCAGAACCCTAAGCCTCGGGATGTCAGAAAATCCTGCATGAGTGTGGACAACCCACGCCCAACAGAGTTGAGCCATCCGATGCTCTGGATGGAACCAGAGTGTGAGAACAGGGATGCTGGGCTGCAGGTGGGACGGGCTGGAATTGCTCACGGAGGGATGGGATGACGGAGGCAAATGCAGCTGAGAGGCATGGTGAGTTCAGAGTTCAGAGTGCTCAGAAAATGCCCCGCTGGGGAGACCAGGACATCTTTAGGGACTCTCCCCGGGGAATCCGAGCGCTCCACTTTGAGGTTCCTCTTTCTCCAGAGAGAGAAATTTCACCCAAATAGGATTTATTTATCTCTGCCCCAGATTGACTCACGTTTCTGTCTGGGGATCCCTGGTGCTGACATGACCCTGCCTGCTAACATATGTAAAAGCTGTTTGTTTTGAAAATTCATCTCTCCGAGAGGAGCGGGCTTGTGTCGATGAGGCCTGGCATGAACACCCATGTTCGATGTTCCTGTGACAGCTGCCAGCAGTGGAGGAATTCCCCGTCGTGGGGAGGGCGGCTGGGGAGGGGAGATTTCGAGGCTCCTTGGGTGCAGGCTCAGGGAACTTGGGCTTGATTCCCTGCACCCTGCCCTGCTCAAAATGTGGCTGCCCTGAGAGTGAGGGGAGAAACATGAGGGTGGACGGTTTGCTGATTGGAGCTGCTAGACCTGCAGAATGAAGGAGAGAGGCCAGACTGGTGGAGAAGGCTGGAGGAAGGCACGCCTCTCCTTCATGCAACTCTCCAAAGGGGCAGAGCTGCCGGCCGTTTGCTCTCCATCCTTGGGCCTCGTCGATGCCCCCTGGCTCACGATCTGATGATGGGGCGTGGTACCCCACGACCAAGGGAAATAGGTGAGGACGAGCCTGCTGGCCTCAGTGGCGACCTTGTACACCCCCAGCATTAACTCTGGAACGCTTCTTTACACTTTCTCGTCCCTGATCCCTCGTCGGCCTCATTTGTTCCCTGAGGTTGAATCTTCTCTACTCCACCTGGGCCCACCTGGATAGAGAGGAGGAAGCCATCCCTTTTGTTCGGTTTTGGATGTTCCTGAAGGGCCTTCTTGCTCAGTCGCATCCCATCGTATTGGTGTCCTTGAGAGCCTCTCATAGGCTGTCAGATTCTCAGATTTGACCCATAGATTACCTGGAGCCTTGTTAGAATGTTGACTAAGGCTGGAGGAGCCCTTTCACCAGCACCTGGTGACTCTGTGCATCTCAAGGCATGCTCTGTGCGCAGTGGGGGCGGCAGTGAAGTTTCTGATCAGGTGTCGGTTTAAATCGTTTGATACTTTTTTTGAGCACTTCCTAAGGATTAGTCACCACACTAGATGCTTGGAGTAGAGTAATGAAGAGATAGGTAGGGACTGCTCCCTCTGACACTTACAGTCTACTCTCCAGTAAGCTGAGAGTAGCTGTCCCTAGGTCAATGTTGAGATTCCTGAGGCTGGCTCATCGGAAGGAGTAACATGTATGTTATGTAGATGGTATGCCTTTCCTATACCTGCAGTGACATCTCCTGTGATCACTGGGATGATAAATGCTCCAACCACTGTCAGCCTTTAACACTCTAATTAGAACGAGCTTATTATCCAGGTCTTAGGGTAATTGGGGAGAGGAAGAGACTGGGAATCCTTGCCAGAAATACAGAGTGGTTTGGGGTTCTTGGAGAAGACCCAAGGCAGAGGGGGTTTTGTGGTTCTAGAACTTTCCAGCAAGGGGTTGGAGGTGTCATCAAGCAAAACATGGTTCCACTTCTGTTTTCAACCAGAGGGAAGCCTTGATGAAGCCAGTATCCGTGTGCCTGAGGACCCCTGACTGTCTTTTTCCTCCCTTCTTCCTTAACCCTGCCTTCTCTGACCCCCCTCCACCAAAGGATCCGGTTCCCCATGGCAGAAGGGTGAGCCAGCGGGGTTTTCAGCACAGAGGCGGGCTCGTCTTTGCCGGGCAGAAGGGGATGGGGAGATCCTGGCTACGCTTTCCCAACATTTGTTTTGGGGGTGGGCTGTTGCTTTTTATATGATTTTAACTTGTCTTTGGTGAATTATGGTTCTGCATACAGAAAAGCAACTTATGTAACACGTTACTCATTTACTGCTGACTTCCCTGATCTGTGCTGTGGGAACAAATGCTAAATTGGGGCTCCGGCGGGTGGTGTTTTGGTTTCAGACTGCGTTTCCCCCAGCACTGTTGTGAAGTGTACGCAGCAACTCAGGAGCGCTCTTGATTCTGATTCTTCTCCAGTAATGACAAACGGCTCTGTGGTCCAGGGACCATCTGCCTCGGTACCCCTCGGGGAGCTTGTTAAATATGGGCTCCACCCCAATGGAATGAATCGGGATCTCTGGGGCAGGGTGTGGCTTATGCATTTTAACAGCCATGGGTGTATATAGTAGTTCCTGTGGAAGCATTTGGTTGTAAGTGATGGGTGGTTCATAGATCTGTTTGTTGGTAGATCCAGACTTACTCCTTGGATTTTAAACTTGTAAGTGGGAGCGTGATTTGGTCCTTTAAAGGTTTAGTGCCTGACATAATTTCTCTTCCTTGCTAATGTACTTTTTACCAGGCATCTCTTTTCCTCCTTAACAGACCAGTTTCATCTGTATGGAAAAGCTTTTGGGTTCGCTGACCCCTCCTGTGGTCTGGCCCAGGAGAACTTGGTCTGTCTTGTCTAAGTAGGCCAAAGCATCTGTACTTTACAATTCAGATGAGCCTTTAACCTGTGGAAGCATGCCTAACCAGGAGCCCATGTTTCACTCTGAGCCCTAGCACAGCACAGCCGCCCAGTGTTCTCCGCATTTCCACGAAGCCAATGAATTTCCACTGTTGATGCTGATCCTGTGGCCCTGTGTTCACATTTCTTTGAATTTTGTGAATCATTTTCCTTGTCTTCTGGTAACTGTTGTCTGTCGCACAGACACCGCCTCTCAGACATTGCTTGATTTAGTCTTTTCAGAATTGTTCCTATCGTTGAATGAGTCATCCCACACAAACGTGCAATATTTATCAATTTCTCTCCATTGATCTTTTAAAATTGTCTCGGCTTTCACTTCTATAATGTTTGTTTATCTCTTCCTACTCACTGTTTCAACATGATTATCGTTTTCCGCTTTATTGATCATCATGGAGTAGCCGTATTTTAAAGGCACTTCAGGACTAAGCACAAACGCGAATGCCCTATGATTTTCGAGAACCTTGGACTCTCAAATGTGGAGCCGCATGAGAATCCCCTGGCGGGTGCGTGCGCTGTGCCAGTCCCTGAGTTCCTGATGCAGTAGGTGTGGAGGAGATCTCAAGAGTCTGCCTTTCTAGCCAGTTGCCCGATGCTGCCACGGGTCCAGGACCCCACTTTCAGAACCTCTGCTCTAGACTAATGAGCACCAAGATGGTTGAGACAGAAATGGCAGATGGCGATTGCGAAGACCGATTAGTGGTGCTGGGGAGAGCTGAAGCGCTTTTGCCCTGGACCTTGAGTTTGTGTTTGGGAGAATGTGTAAGTCAGAAGTTTGTGAAGTGGAAAGTGGTAAGTTCAAAGTTTTCGAGAGCGGGCACTTCCCTGGGATGAGGCCTCAGAGTGTACAAAGCACTTTCTGTGATCATCACGGCATCCTGAGCGGTGGCTGCTCTTGTTCTACCCATTGTACAGAGGGGGAGACTGAGGTTTCAAGTGTCCGGGTTGGGACCAGGAGAGAAATGCAGGCAGTTTGACTCCGGAGCTGGCCCCTAGATCGCTGCCCAGCTGGCTTCCAGGCAGTTCCTAGGCCCTAATCACTGACAAAAACGCACCCTGATTGGTGGCCGGGCAGCGCTGGTGGGGCAGGAGCCACTTCTTGGACACATCACCCACATTGGTTATTGATGATAATGCTTCTAAGCCTGAGATACTATGACTAACTCTGTGCTGTTCAAGCTGAAACCCAGGATAAAATGGTCAATTTTCTAAAAACATCCAACTTAACAAAACAGACTCAAGGATGACTAGAAAACCTGAATAGAGCAATAACTAGTCAAGAAATGATTAAATCAGTCATTACAAAGCTCTCATAAAAAGCAGAAAGAAGTCATCCAGGCCCGGATGGTTTTGCAGGTAAA